CCCCAAAACCCCAAAACCCCAAAACCCCAAAACCCCTATAATTTAATGAAAGATTGATAAGAAAGTTTTTGCGGTATTTATTAAAATAATTAAGTTCAAATAAAGATGAGTCAAGACGAACATATGCAAACATCGATAGGCAAACCAAGTCATGCCTCTCTTGATGGACATCGTAAGGATGGTGCTCATGCAATGGAAGGAAATATTGCTGACCCTGGAGTCGACATGCAAGGATCCAACATGATTGAACCATCAAACAGGTAAGTTCGCGAACTTATCTCTTCCTTTATAGTATGTTGGGATCCCACATGGATTACAACAAGAAGAGAGGATATCTCGATGTTGAAAACGCATTCAGAAAGCCCATGTTCCCTGCTAACCCTCCCAGTGCTACCCCAATCATGGCTAATGGAGGCCAGGTAAGGATTTTCAAATTGCGGGAAATACTCACTTACTCTAGATGAGCAGTATGCTTTCGCAGACAGAACATCAGATGACCCAAGTAGTATGGGGAACCAATATAAACACCTCTGATGCCCAACAAAGGTTCAAGAGTTTCTTGACTAATTTTACCGATGAGTCAAAAAGAAATGCTGTGGATTCAGCTCCCTATTACATGAGCCAAATGCATCAGATCTCAGAGACTCAGATTTATGTCTTGAATATGGACTGCAATCATCTCTATGAATTTGATTCGAATCTTTATAAGCAGTTCATTAATTTCCCAAGTGAGATGATCCCTTATTTCGATGCTGTTGTCAACCAGATGTATAAAGAACTTTGCCCTGAAGATGAGTCTGGAATTGTGATCCAAGTCAGACCATTGAATGTGAGACATTCAAAGCTCTTGAGAAGTTTAGAGCCAGAAGATATTGACAAGCTCATCTCAGTCAAGGGTATTGTCATTAGAGCTTCTGATATTATCCCAGAAATGAAGGAAGCTCATTTCAAATGTGGAGCATGCAACCACAGACAGTGTGTGCAAGTCTACAGAGCTAATATAGAAGATCCAACTGAGTGTCAAAACTGTAAATCAAAACACTGCTTTGAGATCATTCACAATATGTGTAGTTTCGGAGATAAGCAACGTATTAAGCTCCAAGAAGTCCAGGAAAACATTCCTGATGGAGATACTCCTCACCATATTCAGCTCTGCGTATTTGAAGAACTAGTTGACAGCGTCAGACCAGGAGACAGAGTTGAAGTTGTTGGTATCTATAGAGCTCAAGGAATGAAAGTAAATTCCAAAATGAGAACCATGAAAAATATCTTCGTCACCTATATCGATGTGGTAATTCCCTCTAGCTTAATCTCTAGGTCCATATCCAGAAAGTCGATGCCACCAGATTCGGAATTGAGACTGAGGAAAGAGACATGGAAATGGACGGAGAAGAAGACGATAATATTGATGTCTTTCCAGAGGAAATCGTCACATTTACACCAGCAGAGATTCAGCAATTCAAGGAATTTGCTTCTGATAGTAGATGATACGAGAGACTTGTGGCAAGCCTAGCCCCAAGTATCTGGGAGAATGATGATATTAAGAAAGGTGCTCTAGCACAGCTGTTCGGTGGAACTCACAGAGATTTTTCTGAAAGTGGAAGAGGAAGATTTAGATCAGAGATTAATGTTCTCTTGGTCGGCGATCCTTCTACTGCTAAATCCCAGGTCCTTCAATATGTTCATAGAATTGCTCCAAGAGGAATTTATACTAGTGGTAAAGGATCCTCTGCTGTGGGTCTTACTGCTTACGTTACAAGAGACCCAGAGACAAAAGAGCTAGTCCTTGAAAGTGGTGCCCTTGTACTCTCTGATAAGGGTATTTGCTGTATTGATGAGTTCGATAAAATGGATGACAGCACAAGAGTTATCCTTCACGAAGCAATGGAGCAACAGACCATCTCTATTGCTAAGGCAGGAATTATTTGTACCTTGAACTCAAGAACTGCAATTCTAGCTGCTGCTAATCCAATTGATTCTAAATACAATCCTAAAATGTCTGTTGTTGATAACATCAGACTTCCACCAACTCTTCTCTCAAGATTTGACTTGATCTATCTAGTCCTCGATAGATCCTCCAAAGTAACTGATAGAAGGCTTGCCAACCACATTGTCTCCTTATTTGGAGAGGAAGAAAGAGGAGCTGAGAACAAAGACGAGATCACCAGGGAGTTCATGACTAAGTACATCTCATATGCTAGGAAAGAGATTCACCCTGAAATCACTGAAGAAGCTGCTAGCCTCCTTTCTGAGGAATACCTCAAGATGAGAAACATCGGAAGCGCTTTCAAGACTATCACAGCTACCCCAAGACAACTTGAAAGTCTTATCAGACTTTCCGAAGCTCTTGCTAAAATGAGACTTTCCTCAGAAGTTTCAAGAGGAGATGTAGAGGAAGCTGTGAGGCTGATCAAGGTTGCCACCCAGCAAGCTGCCACTGATCCAACTACAGGAAAGATCGATATGGATATCCTCACAAGTGGAGTTTCTTCAACTAGAAGAGACATCATCACATCTATTTCCCAAGTCATCAGGCAATTGCTAAAGGAAGACGAGGAGAGATCTAGACATGGAGTTCAATTCTCACATTTAAGAGAGGAAGTTAAACTCAGGATGATGAAGAATAACATGGAACTCCATGATATTGATTTTAGAAATGCAGTCAGAGAGCTCGAGGATCAGCACTTTGTTGGATTATTCAGACATGTTCAGAATCCAATTGTAAGGCTGCTAGAAAATAACACTTCTCTGATGTAATTCAATAAGCAATAATTAATAAGGGGTTTTGGGGTTTTGGGGTTTTGGGGTTTTGGGG